ATGTTGAACAGGTAGACAATAAATTAAAAAAAAAAAAAAAAAACAAAAGTAGACTGTGGGGATAAAACGTCGAACAATACGGAATATTCGACAAGCGAAGGTCGGATAACGAAGACTGGACTGAACATGCAGGGGTAAGGAACTTAGCGCGCGGTCTGTTGTTCATTTGTTATTGTATTGCTCCGATCACCAATATGAGATATAAATACATGGAGGTGGAATTAGTAACCTCTGACATGTTTTGCAAGTGAAACCAGTCCGCCATATTGGTGTGCCCAAAACACGTATATCAAACACGATAATAAATGGGTAATGCCCACTTTACAATGGAATTTAACAATATTCGGAATATTGAAGAGTATAATAACTAAAACGGAGAATTTTGACGGAAGAATGGGCTGTTTGACAAGGTTACTTTGGTTGCTTACTGCTGTACAAATCGTTCGGGGAAGGGGTGAATTACTTTTTGTACTTTTTTTAGGTACTTTTGTACCTTTGTTCATGTATGTAGTTACTATGTTGTCCAAACCGCATAAAGTAAAATTTGAAGATATTGGTTAATTTTCGTGATTTTTTTCTTTATACCAAAGAGGAAAGCGCTGTGGATTGAAGTTGAGCGAAAAGACAACTAGCAGCCTAGTACATACAATAAGTTCTGCTCGGTTCATTTTAAAGACGAGAATTTATTTGCAACTTATTTATGATACGTAGTACGTTTAGATAACCTTGCAGCTCCAACAATTTTAGCATCTTTTCTACAACACGTAAGAGAAATAAGTTATGCAGGAATGATTATTTCTGAAGAGAATTTCAAAAGAATAGTTAACTTTATTATTTATGACGTCTGTTTAAAAAACGAAAGTTATGCAGATTGTTGCCATCAACTGTATTACTGACCCATCTACAAACTCCAGACTTTAGAACCCCGATATTTTGACTTCCAATGAGTACTTTTTCTTAAATCATATAGTTAGTATGGTAGCCAGGTTTCGAATATTATACCTTAATCTAATAATTTGTGTATCACACGCTCCTTCAAAATATTAGTAGTGTTAAGTTTTTTTTATTTATTTGCATACTTTTTGTACGAGATCACGTAAAAAATCTCGAAGACAGAAGAAGCAAATTCAATAATATGGTATTCTCGGACACAGCAATATGGCGACTCGTTGTTTGAGGTGGCTTCAAGTGTCTGACGTCATGTCATCTCCCAGCATTCCTTGCTCCATGGCTACGACATTCGCCTGCTATTTTGATTCGCTTGGCCGGAACCTCTCTATAACCCCCTCCCCCCGGTCAGCGGCACTTTAGGGCAACTACAAAGCTGACTTTGAACTAATCTCAGCCTACTCGAAGACTTGATTGAATGTATGGAATACACACATGAAGACAGATACATAATATCTGCGAGTGCATATGTGTGAGTATGCTTGTATGGACACTAAATATGGACCCTTGTGGTATATTGTAAGTATGAAATGTACATTATACTGCCTATCTCAAAATGGGCATGTATTCATAATGTTAGGTAGATATTGATGCGTTGATAGCTTTGGATGAATCGATATTTGTCAGTTGGAGAAAAGACATGTGAAGATGTTTGTATTTACGAAGAGAATTATAATGGTGTATACCTGTCTCAGAATAAATATTAGAAAATACTATGGCCTTTGGAGTGATCAAAAATAATAGTTGCTACTGAGCAATCTTGCTTTATCTCTCGTACTAATGTCTAGTAAGAGAACATTTCATTGTCATCCATCTCTTGTTATAATGTTGTATTATACAAATAATAAGAGGTTATAATGAATAGTTATTCTTTAGAAAATATGGTGGTAATAAGTACATCTAATATTATCAGTAAGTCGCTACTCACTCAAGTCCTAGTCTCGAAAATGGGTAGTCCACAATCCCAAAAGGCACCACTGAAAACATAAATTGAAACAAACATTTTAACGTACAAAAATATGGTATAATTGCAATATTAAAATTGTAAATAAGCGGATTATAATTATTTTATAATTATTCGTTAATCAGCCTTAAAATATAATAAATACTTTGTGAAAAATCGGCCTTCTTGCGCAAATACCTTCAACAGTATGTTCAACATTGCCAAACTCGTGCCTCATCAACATATGATGTTCCAACTTTACTCAACTTATTGTTTACCAAAGAAATGTAGAAAATACATTTAATTGACCATTAAAGTTTTTGCTTCAAGGCATAGGTAATGAGAGACTAATGAAAGTCTTTGACATATGTATATTGAAATGAGGGTTACTGTGAAAGATGTGCAAATCTCTCAATATGTCAAATTAGTGGTCCAATAACAGCACATACTTTCTCGTTTTATTTCTAAATTTGCAATTTTCAAAAAATTAGAGAGGTCAACAAAAATGAGATCTATTCTTCCAAGCGTTCCTTCTTCTATCCGTTTGAAGAGGTTTTGAGAATTTTTTTAAAACTTTTCCATCAAGTTCAAGCCCAAATTACCCTGTAACTACGCATTTTTTCAAAAAATTTTGCATCTTTTTTTAAGATCAGATTCTTTTCAATAGACTTTGTCTGAGGCAAAAATCTCTATCATCAATTTTGTAGTTCTGAAATGTTCACTTTATGTAATATTCGAAAAAATGGAGAGACGGCCAAAAATGGGACTAGCGTCATATTTTTCATCGTCTTTTATTAAATATAAGGAAAAAAATAAAGAAAAATTAGAGTGGTTTTTGTGAAACAAATTGATAAATTTTTTTGCGTGTCAATAATTCGCGCAAAATCACACGAAAACGACTCCTATTTTCAAAAAAATTGAACTTGATTTTATTTGAAGATCTGTATTTACTTACATATGGCATTTTCTTCCAAGGAATAAAATGCATTTGCATCCAATGGCCCTGTGTCATCGTCCCAACTAGAACATCAAAGTACACAATACATATGTTTCAACTTTTTAATTATTTTCACAGAATGTGAGCACATATTCAGAAAATACATTTTTGCTTTGTACATTGAGGTAATAATCACTTGCAAATCAATTGTTAAACAATAAGAAAAAAATTGTGTCACGTCACCAGGCTTGCATAACTAACTAAAGATGAACATAGAATGAGTCAACCAAAACCAAATAAGAATAAGTTTTTGCAAATTAATTTCGTCATTTCCAATACAATATTTATTATTCCTGTTTTTCAGTAGATTATTTTTGCAGATTAATATAAAATATGAGGAGTTACTTGTATATCAATTATAAGCAATAAATTCTAAAAACTAAATTATGTCAAGCCATTTTCCATTAAAATTTACAAGAAATGGTTGAATTTATTTCCGTTCCAAGTTCTCTTAGATATGAACTGTCAATTTAGAGAATGGAGACGGTTGTCATCCAATGATTCCTGCTAAACAGAAACGAAACTTACTCTGTAAGATGGTGTTTATTGTGTAATCTTTGCAGCTTTTTGTTGTACCGGAAATCGATAATTGCCAGTAGATCGTCCAGAAATGTGTCATCATGCAGCGTCAACTGAAATGTTATATAAAACGAATTAGTACAGGGTATCTGACATTTTACAGTAATACGTATATTTGTCTTAAACCAACCTCAGATACTTCATTTCATGTGTGGTATAATATTCATTGACTAACGGTGTAACCTCATTGACTTGTGGTGTAATAAACGTGGCCACAGAGAAATGATTTATACTTCCTGAGCCTATGACGTGGCAAAAGATTCCGTACATGGGACAGATTGCCTTGAAGTATTTCTTTGCAAAAACAATCGCACTCCTGAGCAATATTGTAAATTTCGTGAGAAGAAAATTACATTCTTTGATGTAGGATAACATTATACGAGTAATATATTCGCGAAACGCGCGTAAAAGCATCTTCCTAAAAGCACAATTGAAAAGATTCTTTATGAATGTGAAGACAGTAGAAAAGGAGGAAAGGAAGAAAGAAGGGGGAGGAAAGAAAGAATAGAGGCAAGGGAGAATGGAGGAAAGGGAGAATGGAAGAAAGGGAGAATGAAGGAAAAGGGAGAATGGAAGAAAGGGACAATGGGGGAAAGGGGAATGGAGGAAATGGAAAATGGGCGGAAGGGGGAATGGACGGAAGGGACAATGGAGAAAAGGGGGAATGGACGGAAGGAAGAAACAAAGAAAGGAGGAAGGAAAGAAAGAAAGAAACAAAAAAGGAGAAAATGAAGAACGGAGAAAAGAAATTAAGGAGAAAAAAGAAAGGAGAAAAGAAATTAAGGAGAGAAGAAAGAAAGGAGAAAAGAAAGAAAGGAGACAACAAAGAAAGGAGAAAATGAAGTAAGGAGCAAATGAAATAAAGGGAGAAAGAAGGAAAGGGAGCAAAGAATATAAAAGGATAGAAAGGAAGGAGGAAAGGAAGAAAAGGGTAAAGCAAGTAAAGGAGGGCGGAGTAAATGAAAAAAACGTAGGCGGAGAAAATGAAGATTGGAAGAAAGGTTGGAGGAAATGGAGAATGATAGAAGCAATAAATGAAAGAAAGGGAGAAAGAAGGAAAGGGAGCAAGGAAGATACAAGGATAGAAAACAAGAAGGAAAGAACGAAAAGAAGAAATAAAGAAAGGGAGTAAGGCAGAATAAAGAAAACGAGGGCAAAGGAACGGAGTGAAGACGCAAATGAAAGACTGAACGAGCAGAAAAAAGCAAGCTTACGTTGGCGTAGTACTCGTCCGTGTCGAACCAGTCCGCGAGGTGCGGGGGCCCGCCCACGAGCATGCGCACGGCGCGCACCTTGCGCAGCGCCGCGTCGCGCGTCTGCGCGTCCAGCCACCGCTGCGCGCGCAGCGACGCCTCGAACGCCCACGAGATGTCCGCCATCATGCTGCGCACCTACCCACGCCCACGCCCGCCACATAGATTAACACTACAGAACTCCATTGCTAATAGAAAGACCAGGGCTGCGCACCTAACCGCAACCACGCACGCCACATAGATGAAAACTACAGAACTCCATTGCTACTATAGCCAGGGCTGCGCACATAACCGCAGCCACGCCCGCCACATAGATTAACACTACAGAACTCCATTGCTACTATAGCCAGCGCTGCGCA